ATTATTTTTCGTTAATTTCACATTTTTCTATATTCTTAAACCAGTTCAGGACTTTTTCAAGAAAATTCAACAAGTTGTCCAGAAATTAACTACAGTTTTTCCTGAACAGCTTAAAATAATATTTCAAATTTGGCTTCATAATAAGAATGAAGCATATCAATTTTGATTGTTGATACACTTTGAAGTGTATTTTTCTGAAAGAAATAATTTTCAGTGCTTTAAGAACATGTCGTTCACAAATTGTTTAAAATTTTCTATTGTTGGAGAAAAATGTGAATAATTGATGAAATGTATGGATTTTAAAAACCATTTGGATATTTAAAAATTTCTTTAAGTCGCCTCAAAATTGTTATTTGGGGTTTTTGAGGTTACTGATTACGAATTAATTATTAGTTTTGCAAATTAAAAATAGTGCATTCAATAAGACCTAAATTTCAACCTTATTTTTTTACAAAATCATTATAAATATAATTTCAAATAGGGGAGAGTGGGTCAAGACGGGGTACTTAAGGTTAAAAGCGCAAAAAAAAAGAAAATTATCAAATATATATTTTATTATTTTATTTAATAACCATCTTTGGGAATCAGTCTTTCGTAAAAAAGGCGTACAAAGGCCATCTGTTTCTTAAAAAAGCTTATAATTAATAATATTGAAAAAATTGCAAATCCCCCCATCTTGCCCCACCGGCGGGTAAGATGGGGTACTCAAGAAAGCAATCTATTTCTGTCGACAAATTTCACAAGTAAAGGTTGCATCTTCATCTTCATCCATAACTGCAGTGAGCCCATTGGCCGCAGACAAAAAAAGCAGCCCAGCCTTCATTTGAGTCTAAATAATAACCATTACAATAGAGACAAGGTGTATTTTCCACTTTACCATCGCTAATTGATGATTTAACCTGACAAGCTTTTTTCTTTTTGGTCACTCTTATTTTATTCAGTCTTGATTTTAGTAGTTTTCTTAACTTCTCTTATTTCTTTTTTTTTTTTGCTTAATTTGTGAACCCCGTCTTGCCCCACTCTCCCCTACCCCATCTTGCCCGCACCTACGAAATTGAATAAAACGATTAATTACTACAATTTACGATTCAACAAAGAAAAAAAAACACATGCTTCCCTTCTTCTGTAACCCTTGACAGTTAGAAAAAAATTTATACAGTTCATTAACTGTTATTATTAAATAATAAACACCTCATAAAAAAATTGGACAAGTGCGAGTTGTACTCGCACTGCAATGGCGGGTTCCGTACACAAATATTAAAACAATACTTGCAACATTTATCGGTAATTGGTAGAATTAAAATAAACAATTAAAAAAATATATTAAAATCATTTGATAAAAAAGAATAACTAAAAAAATTAAAGTATTGTATATATATAATATTGTAAACAATAATAAGCAGAGGAACTATAATTTTGAAAATTTTGTTCCTCTGCTTATTATTGTTTACAATATTAGATATACAATACTTTAATTTTTTTTAGTTATTTCTTCTTATCAAATGATTTTAATATATTTTTTTAATTGTTTATTTTAATTCTACTAATTACCGATAAATGTTGCAAGTATTGTTTTAATATTTGTGTACGGAACCCGCCATTGCAGTGCGAGTACAACTCGCACTTGTCCAATTTCTTTTATTTTTAGTTAAGAAATTAAAGTCAGAAAACAATCTCTCATTTATTCTCTTAAAATTTCACTCTTCCTTAAAATATTTAATGCCACGTGTTTAAACTAAAAAAAATTAAAAAAAATTTTTTTTTTTTTAAAGTTTCTTAAATAAATGTTTTGTCGTCAGACTGTAATAATACACCAGGATACCAATTTCCAGCTCATTAGGTCAAATAATGTAAAAGCTAGGGAAAACAAATTTTTTTAAAAAATTTTTTAGTTTTTCCTTGACAACGCTATGGCCATCATTACATATCAAGTTCTCTATATTTTTCCTATAATATTCGAGTAAAAATACACCAGCATGCAAAATTTCAGCTCTCCATGTCGAATAGTTTAGAAGTTAAGGGGGGGGAATGGTCACTTTTTATGCATTTTTGGCCAAAAATCTTGTTATTTCCTTGACAACGCTATGCCCATCACGTCCAATCACATTCGCTATATTTTTCCTGTAATCTACGTGTGAAAATACATATCTGTACCAAATTTGAGCTCTTTAGGTCAAATAGTTTAGCCGCTAGGGGGGGGGGACACGATTTGGCTACGGACAACAGAGTCTCACCAATAGGGTTTCGCCGATACACCGTAGGTGTACGGAACCCTAAAAAAGTGAAAAAATGACAAGAAAATTGTCAAAAACAGTTTTTTTAGTAAAACAGATAAAAGATTTGTTCTCATGGCTTTCAGGTTTTGTAAACAAGAAACTATCGTCTCGGTGCAGTATTATCTATGTATATAAAATCAGACTTTTGTCTGTACATTGCTCAGAACTTTAAATTTCGCACATAATTATTCGTTTTAGGCATCAAGGATTCCAAATATACCAATAAAAAATTTCGTGTATGTACATATGTATGTATGTATGTATGTATGTATGTATGTATGTATGATGTGTGTCGGTATGTCACAGAATCTTTGTTCGCGCATCACTTAAAAACGGCTGAACCATTTAAAACCAAATTTGGCAGAATATTAGACCTTGGGCCAAGGAAGGTTTATAAATTTACAGATTTGAAAAATATTAATTAGAACGGGAGATATTCAATTTTTTCGAAAAATTCAAAAACCAAAAATTTTCAAATTTTACATTTTTTTAAAAAATGCTTTCAAATTTTCTATAATTGAGTATAACATGTTATTAAGTCAAATTTTAGCATAATTTTTCCAATAATACTGTCCTATAACTAAGACGTAAGTATAAAAATGATTTCGAAAAATTCAAAAAATCGCAAATTTCCAAATTTTATATTTTTTAATGGACTGCTTTTAAACTATCTATAATTAATCATTACATGTTATTCAGTCACATTTTAGCATAATTTTTCAAAAAATAATATCTTATAACTAAGATTAAAGTATAAAAATGTTTTCAAAAAAATTTAAAAATCACAAATTTTACATGTTTTGATGATTTGCTTTTAAACTCTGTATAATTGAGTGTTACATGTAATTTAGTCATATTTTAGCATAATTTTGCACAAAAAATGATATGACTAAGATGTAAGTATAAAAATATTTTCCATATCAAAAAATCGAAAAAATTACAATTGTTATTAACTATCAAGTTTAATTCAGTGGTATTTTTGGGGTTATTTTTATTTTATGAAAATACTCTTTTTTAAGAAAATATGTTATATGCCAGTACCAGTCTTTGACGGGATTTAGTTTACCATAATAGAATTGACAGAGTGTCTACCAATTGCGCGGGGAAACCGATAAATAGCCGGGAGTTTAATTTGACCAGGAAAAACCGGGAATTTTCTTATCAAATTAAAAAAGTTTTATTATATTAATTTGATTTTAAAAACTGCTTTTTACTTTAATTTTTATTGTCTAATTGTGACACAATTATTTATAATTAGACTCTTCTTTGACTCCAGAAGCTGGTGTAAATTTAGGATTAATTTTTAATACATTAATTGCAGTACTACAAACGCACAAAGTACTACAAGTTGCCAAATACTGTTCCTGAATATCAAATTTGATAGAAAAAAATCTGTCACTGATTGAAATAGTAATATTTTTCTCACGAAATAGTTAATGGTAACTAATTATTAGTTTTTCCCAGTAAAATTTAATTCCCGGCTATTTCCCGGTTGGTAGAAACCCTATCAAATGTATTAGCCGAAACTAAAACCCGTCGAAGACGGGTCCGACAGCTAGTTTTTAATAAATCTTAACTCAAATTTCATAAGTTGTTACAAATACAGAATGTCTATTTTTCATAAAAATGTTTCTTTTTATAAAATACAACTTTTTCATGCATAACCTATCAATTTATACTTTATCAGATGATTTTAACTGATTAAAAACGATTTTTAAAAAAAATTTGAATTTACTTATCTTGACAATTTTTGTAACGTTAGGGAGTAACTGGGGTGTCCAGACACCCCAGACGTATTTTAACAGAAGATAGAGCTCTTCCTAGAGCAAAACTTTTGGTGACACATACAGGTGTCAAAAGATAGAGGTTCAAACTAAATTATCAACGGGTTTTGAGCGTAAAAAAATTATTGTTTAAGCCATGGGAATACTTTTAATTTTGCTTGGGGTGTCCAGACACCCCAGTTACTCCTTCTAGGGTTAAGAGTTATAATCAATTATACTTAACCTCTACAACACATGATAATACAATATTGCATCTTTAAATCTTATTTATGAAAAGAATATTTTAAAAAATTATTAATTATATTTTTGAGTATTTTAAGAAAAAACGGGGGACTCTCAGAAGAATCACCCACATATTTTAATCTATTTTTTAAGACATTTTCCAAAATTTTTTAAATGGTCGAAGGTCTATAAAAATGATAAAAATAAACTCGAAACTTTAGTTTTTACTTTTTTCAATGAAAATTAAAGTATACAATTTTAGAAATTAAATTAGGTAATTTTACTATAAAAAAAGTGCTATAATTATTTTTATTTCATGCATTTTAATGGAAATAGTCCTAGGTATATTTTTTCTACATTGCAATTTATCTTAATTATTACTTGTTTATATAACAAAATTTTATCTCGTATCAATAAAACATGAAACAAATATTATTTGAAAACTTGAACAGATTTTTAAATTGCACACTTTAATTTTTCAGCATTTTGTATATTACAAAAATTTTGATTTCAAAAATAATGTCTGCAATAATTAAAAAATTATGATTTTAAAATTTACAAACTATTATGTAACAAACTTGTTTGTTCACAAATTGTACTATTAAAAATTTGTTGTCCATTTAAAGAAATGTTTAAATGGAGAATTGTAAATAATAAATAAAATTATTTAAGAATATTGCTGTTCTAAAATTAAAGGTTATGACTGATGTTTACAAACCCAGTGAATTAGTCATAGCGGCGATTTCATTGGCTCTGGCTGAAGCAATTTTAAGAATATTCGCCTCATGTGGTAGTTCTTGCGAGCCACCGAGAAAATTGTCAAATTGTTCTTTATCCATTTTGGTAACGACATTTATTTATAACAAACAAAGTTCAAAGAAAAAGAACCATTATGCTTTTGAAAATGTGAAGCAGTACGTGAGCAGTACTGCAGTGACGACGACAGCAGCAGACGATAAAAACTAAGATTCTGGTTGTAAACATATAACAGTAGATGTCTCTATTCACTTTTTTCAAATGTTTCAAATTAAAGCAGGACTGACAGAAAAGTTATTACAAAATTTTCAAGATTAAATTATATAATTATATTTGCAATATGTAGCTATTTATTTGGTTCGTTGTTTAGAAAAATACAGAAAGATGTTTTGAATTTTTATTATTTTTCTCAATAAGCATGTTTCCATTTAAATATTTAAAATTTCGCGTCAAAATTGCTGACGACTAGTTAAACATTTAAGCATTTCAAGTGTCTCTTTATTGCTAACTACAGGAGAGGAAAAAACGATGATATAAAATTTTGAAAAATATTGAGATGAACAGTAGGAAAATAAATAAAATAATTGAAGACACTGCGCGAGTCAAGCGCACGCCCAAGTCGAGTGGTCGCCATTTTTGCTGAAGGCAAGGCGAATGTGAATCTCCGAATCCCATCTGATCCCGTCGTCTTTTTCCAAACTGGTGTGTACGTGTCGTGAATTTCTTTACATGTAAAACGAACGTCCAGCCTCGGTAAGTTTCGCTAATAGAAGTCATTTTCAGTGAAATAGAATCCGTGCCGTGGAGAGTTTTGAGGTTTTGACTTTCGGAATTGGACAACTCGTGTTATTCGTGAGCAGAATGAACACGATTTCTCGGGAATCTTTCTCGTTGACGGGGAGTGAATAGTTTTATTTATGACAGGCTGACATTTGCTGCGAATTCAGGAAAACGGGCAACGAGCTCTTTTCAAGAGGAGGGAGGTTAGATAATTGTTTCGAACCAACCCCAAAAGTTGATTAAGTTGTCGAGTGCGAGCAAGATAAGTAAAATTGTGTCGTGAATATTTCTCAAATGAAAATGAGTTGTCAACGAAGTGAGGGGAAAATAACAGTTCCTGACGACTTGAGGGATATTTTGCTGGAATTCACCATCAACTATTTGCTGGAGCAACCGGGGGATATAGTGGATTACGCGGTCGATTTTTTCACCCGCCTGAGGGAGAATCGACAGACGCAGCTGATCCAGGCAAATGCTCAGACGTGTTCGTCGACGCCAGACGAATCAGTCGACGACGAGGGTGAGTTGCAGCGGGTTGTCGCTCTTTTTTAACAGTTTCGGGACAATGGAGAAATTGCAAAATCGGGGGTTGCTCGGTTTTGGTGTTTCCCAGAGTTTGGGAGGTACGACTCGCAACTTTTAATTGATTGTCTTCTTTTTTCTTTTACGTTTCTTTCTTCTCCACTGTGCCTCAATTGCTTGATATTATCTAATTAATCAATTGACAATAGTCAAACTCGATTAATGCAATCAATTAAAAATTTATTCAAAATTACTTAACCTTCTTTTGTCTTCTTTCGTGCTTCGTTGGTAACAAAAACACAATTATTACATGTCGTAGCATGCAAGTTGAACACGACGAACTATTTATTAATTTAATTTACGCATTCAAAAATTATAACACATTAACAACCAAGTACGTAATGTTAACTTTTTTCTGCAAAGTTTTTCATAAAGTGAAACATCTGTTGCTGTTGAAAATAGTTATTTATCATTTTCAATTTTTTTCTCATGTTGAAGATTGTCGACGTTTTTTCTTTTAAAATAAAAAGTTTCGTCTATAATTTAATTTAGTTTCATAAAATATATTTTCTGTTTGATAATTCACTAAGTTAATATTTTTATTTTATATAAATAAATATAGTATAATCCGTATAGGTATAATATGAGATTAAAAAGAATTTCTTGATTTAAATAGTGGCAAGCGTCAATAAAGTTTGATTTTAAAAAAATGTAAGAGAAAGATTTGCATAGAATCAAATTATAATGCTGTTTCACTTAATCTTTGACACTAATAGTTTTTTTATTTTAAACTAAAAATCTTTCTTTTGCCTCTCAGTGGTGCAAACAAAGTCATAAAACTCGACGAAGAGAGACTTCAAAAATATTCTGATTTTAATACCAGAAACCGAACGATTTCAAAGATTTCCTTCCTTCTAAAAAGAAATTTATACTTAAATTTGGAAATTAAATTCAGGGTGTCTAACGGTCAGGAAATGTCAAATGATTTCATTTAAAGTCAGGAAAATTTCTATAAATTCATATGAAAATCCAAATTTTTTGTGATAATTATTTATTGTTAAATGAAAGTGGAAAGTAGAAAAATAAGGTTAGAAAAATACATTTTTTCATTAAATACAAACTTTAATTTAATTTAAGTTGTCTTTCGCTTTTAAAACAAAAATGAAATTTAGAAAAATTAAGAAGCTGCCCGTAACTTTGTGCGAGTTACTAACAAGTCATAAAATATATTAAACGTTACAATTTAATTTCCAAAATTAAATTACTGCTGATAACTGGGTGCCAGTTTCAGCTTCATCTTCATAGAGGAAATACTGTGTTGATGGAAATTTTCAATTGTAAGTTTTTCACATACACTACCGGTCAAAATTGAGAGACCACCCATTTCCAGGCGATTGAAAATCATTTTAAAACATTAAATGTATTGAAACTAAAATTTGTTTCTTTTTATTTTTTGAAAGATAATAAAATTTTGAAAAGAACAAGATCTTTTAGAAGTCATTTGGTCAATATTTTATTTAGATAATTTTAAAAAATCGTCATTTTCAATGTTTTACAAAAATTTGAATAACTTCTAAAATAATGGAAGCTTTATAATGATCTTAGGCTTATTTTACAGGTCATTTGGTACACTATAAGAATTATTTATAGGCAATAACGTATAATTTTTTTCTTAGAAAATGCAGGCCATCAAACTTGGACCAAAAAAATTCAAAAAATTTGGTACAATTTTTCTGTACTAAAAAATATTCTAGAAAATATATAAAACATCATGTGGCGTAGATTTTTCAAGAAAATTTAATAACAAAAATACGTTTGAATTTTAAAAATTATTTTTCTGTTAATAAGATTGTTTCAAATTTTTTGAATTTTTTTGGTCCAAGTTTGATGGCTTGCATTTTCTAAGAAAAAAAAATACACGTTAATGCTTATAAGTAATTCTTGTAGTGTAGCAAATGACCTTTAAAATAAGCCTAAGATCATTAGAAAGAGTTCATTATTTTAGAAGTTATTCAAATTTTTGTAAAACATTGAAAATGACGATTTTGTAAAAATATCTAAATAAATTATTGGCCAAACGACTTCTAAAATATCTTGTTCTTTTCAAAATTTTAACATCTTTCAAAAAATGAACAGAAAAAATTTTATGTTTTAAAACGTTTCTCATTCGCCTGAAAATAGGTGGTCTCTCAATTTTGACCGGTAGTGTATTTCGATGACATTTAACCTGAAGTGTTAAAACAAGTGTTTTGATAAATTAAGAAAGATAAAAATCAACAAAATGTTTCAAGTAGAAATAATTTAACGAAATGAGGATGAAAAAAGTGAAAAGGTATTCTTAATAAATAACATTAATTTATTATTATTAATTATGTCAATAATAATTTCAATCAATTAGATAATTCTTAACTTGTCCAAATAAATGAAATTTATTTATATCTTCAAATTAAGACTTTACTATAACAGCGAGCGTGAATATTTCACTTAATTTTATTATTTGATTATTTAACAAACTGAATTAGAAAATTATAACAAATTTTCATTGCATATTTTATAGCAATATTTGTTTAAAATATTCAACAATTTCACAATATAAATAATTTTTAATTGAACAATCCATCGTTTGCCACAGTGGGTCAGAAGTTTCTAAAAATGTCAAAAAACACACTTTAAAATTTAAAAAAAGTAAATACTGTTACTTTATTAATATATATGAGAGAAGGATTTTAGAAATTTATTAAGCATTTGAGTAAATATTATATTATTTACAGTAGAAAAACCGTAAGATTTAAAATAATGCAATAACACTTTCCCTCTATATAAGTATTAATTTTTTTTGTTATTATTGGTAGAAATAATTTTTTGAAATAATTATTATTTTAAATTGTGAAAAAATATGAAAAATTTATTTTATCTACACTGAAAAAATGTTAGGCCGTTGGCTGTACTGGTTCCGAAACAACCAGTTCCCCTTTCAACCAGCACGTCAGACGTCCTTTTTCAAGACAGTAGACATACTTCTTCAGCGCATGCGTTGTTCTGTGGTTTAGGGAAATAGCTATCAGCACGGCGGTTGAACTGAAAAAGTAATGGAGCACTCACAGCTCTGCCTGCCTGCGCAGGCAGTAATTGGAGTAAGAGAGAAAGTCAATTAGAGTGAAAGAGACAGTAAATTCAAATTTGTATTGCTGCCTACTAGCTGTGAGTGCGCCTTAAGTCTACTGTCAAGAAAAAGGACGTCTGACGTGCTGGTCAGAAGGAAAACACTTGTTCTGGCGTTTTAAGAGAACCAGTACAGCCAACGGCCTAAAACTTTTTCAGTGTATATACTTTATTAAACATATTTGAACGTTTTGATATAGGGTAAACCAGACAGTAGTCGTTCACTTTTCAATTTTGAATAGCTATAAAACCGTATAAAATGAAAACAGTTTGTTTGTTACTACACGGAAAAAGTATCGGCACGTCAGATGTACAGGTTGTGTCAAATTTTCTTCTACATTTATTTTGCACGCCATCTGTGCCAGTTTGGCGTATCTGACGTGCATTACGTACGTCTGATATCTCGAAATGGCACCTCAGACGTGCAAGATGAAATGTACTACTGTTGACACTGTCCTTGGCGCATCTAATGTCCCGGAATTTTTCCCGTGTACTAGCGCAGTCGACGGCCGCAAGCGGCCGTCTCCTTTGCCGTTCTCTGCCATTTCTCAATTCAGTTCCCTGCCTAATTTTTAATTAATTACAATTTTTCTTTTTTCTTTGTGAATTTGATATACAATTAAACTTACACAAACATATAAGCGTAAGGCATATGAAACTAGCGAACGCTAAGCATTAAATAGGGAATTATCTTTAACTGTTCTACGCCATTTCTAAATTTAGTTTCCCAGGTGCGAATTTTGGTCGGCCGCCAGAGTTGGCAGGTCGGGCCCAGGTCGGCCCATCTATGGCTGCCAATAGGTCGGCAGCCAAAGTCGGGCCGACTTTGGTTACTGTTTCCACCCAAGGTTGGGCCGACTATGGGTGCCAGAGTTTAGAGAACCTAATTTTAGTTGGTCGGGCTGACTCTGGCCTGAGTCGGGCCGATGGTCGGCAAAACTATGGCAACCAGAGTTTAGAGAACCTAATTTTAGTTGGTCGGGCCGACTCTGGCCTGAGTCGGGCCGATGGTCGGCTAAAGTATGGCAGCCAGAGTTTAAAAAGGTTAATTTCTGTTGGTCGGGCCGACTTTGGCCTGAGTCGGGCCGATGGTCGGTAAAACTATGGCAGCCAGAGTGAAAAAAACCTAATTTCTGTTGGTCGGGCCGACTCTGGCCTGAGTCGGGCCGATGGTCGGTAAAACTATGGCAGCCAGAGTTTAAAAAACCTAATTTCTGTTGGTCGGGCCGACTCTGGCCTGAGTCGGGCCGATGGTCGGTAAAACTATGGCAGCCAGAGTGTAAAAAACCTAATTTCTGTTGGTCGGGCCGACTCTGGCCTGAGTCGGGCCGATGGTCGGTAAAACTATGGCAGCCAGAGTTTAAAAAACCTAATTTCTGTTGGTCGGGCCGACTCTGGCCTGAGTCGGGCCGATGGTCGGTAAAACTATGGCAGCCAGAGTTTAAAAAACCTAATTTCTGTTGGTCGGGCCGACTCTGGCCTGAGTCGGGCCGATGGTCGGTAAAACTATGGCAGCCAGAGTGTAAAAAACCTAATTTCTGTTGGTCGGGCCGACTCTGGCCTGAGTCGGGCCGATGGTCGGTAAAACTATGGCAGCCAGAGTTTAAAAAACCTAATTTCTGTTGGTCGGGCCGACTCTGGCCTGAGTCGGGCCGATGGTCGGTAAAACTATGGCAGCCAGAGTTTAAAAAACCTAATTTCTGTTGGTCGGGCCGACTCTGGCCTCAGTCGGGCCGATGGTCGGTAAAACTATGGCAGCCAGAGTGTAAAAAACCTAATTTTAGTTGGTCGGGCCGACTCTGGCCTGAGTCGGGCCGATGGTCGGCTAAAGTATGG